TATTTAAAACTCAACCACGTTCAATCTGCTGCTAGCTAGCCGAAGCTGCCAATAGTCTCCAGCTATATTTGTGATACTGTTTTTTATTGCGCCACTTACGTGGCTTAAGTCTCTGAGCTTAATGCTTCTTTTCTCAAAGTCAGACTGCCCTTTTCCTATTCTGTTGTCAACTGTTTTCTTCTTGTCCTTTCATTTCTGATGTTTTCTCTGGTTTCTGCTCCTTCTGATTTGGCCAGGCGGATTTCGTAAGAGAACACGCTTCTCGACATAACGTCCTTTGGATCACCATATTTTTAAATTTTGAGTATTTTACTTTGCTAAAACTAGCTGTTTCCGTTTCACACAGAATATATATACGTCATATCCCTATGTGGGTTCTGGTGCGCAATTGAAAAGGGGGGAGGGGGAGAACAGACCTACTACTTCCCTCTAATATGATACCATGGACCCCAAAGACGAAGCTCTGAAATTGAGCCCCTAACACTGAAAGCACTAGGCTAATGGTTTAACCACTTCACCACTCTTATGGTGAAGCAGCGGCTAGAGCTAGAAATAGATTCAAGGGTTATGATTGGTATTCATAGCAAGGAGTGGAAGACAGTAAATATCAATCATTTGTCTGCTGACGACCAATATTTTTAGGTGCCACTATTAGTATAGTTGTCCCCCGTGTGGGTTCCGTGGCCCTACTATGGAAAAAAAAACAAGAATAGACCCACTGCCTACCCAAAAGCATGTCGTAAGAGTCGACTAATTGGGAGCTTCCTTCGAAGTCGGAGTGCATCTGCATGAGAGGCAAGGAACCAACAGTCTGCATACAGGTTTGTCAAACGGATGCACACGCAACACTCAGGTTCTGGAACAGGACTGCAGTCTAGAAGTGGACGAACAACCAGAACTTTCCGCCGGAGTTCACAGCCGGTGAACGCGAAGAAGAAGGAGAAGTATAGTTGTATCCCTTTTATTATGCAATGATGCAAACCAAACGAAAATTAGAACAAAATATCACAAACTGCAAGCGAACAAGATAGCATCCATGGTTTGAGAATTGAACAACGGATCAACATCATGGCACACGGAAGCTAACCCACAAGTGCTCCGTTCTTCTAACACAAGTCAGAGTTTGAAGAAGCTCAGCACAGTGCACAGGCGCTATAGCGCTGGGATCCAGAAATACATTGGGTAGGTTTGCAACACCAAATTTTGCCCGGGCAGCGCTGTTAGGCTACACTTTTCGATTTCCAACTGCCAAGGGATTTTGTTTACGTAGGCAACAATGCACACGGGCGTCTGATCTCACTACCCAGAGACCAGGAGGAATTACTAGAAATCCAAGTCCACGTGAAAAAATCTCAGCCTTATCTGGGATTGAACCCATAACCTCTAGCCCTCCAGGTGAACACCATTCCGCGAGACCAAGCAGCTCCCTGAGAGCATCCATCAACACGAGAGATTCCATCAACACGTTGCATAAATCTATAATACCACACGCACGAACTATTATAAACAAAATCACGTAACTGGCGTTTCTATTAGATAAATCGCATCTCTGTCTGGCCAGTAGAATATCTGACACATGTGTCAGTATACATGTAAATTGGATTTATTTTGACCTTCAGTGTTTTCACTTCCCGTGGGAATTTCTCTCCAAGAATAATTAGCCTAAGGATTGCCCATACCTAATAACGTGTTTGGGGTATGGAGTTTTGAACTTTGCCACTTTTTAGGCCTCGACACATCGGTGGTCAGTTGAAATTTGTAGTGTGTGTGTGTGTGTGTGTGTGTGTGTGTGTGCGATTCCTCCTCTTATAGTCCATGCCGTGTAGTATTCGTTTGTGGCTTAGGCGTTGCGAGCGTGCTTCGTAATGGCAGGGTGCCGGGTTTGATTCCAGCTACAGGCTGTTTGCCCTGCGTTGGTTTCGACAGTGTACCGAGAGCTGACCGCTCAGGGCAAGGCAAACTACTGAATGTAAAATTTGTCTTAAAGAAAACCAAAACAGCCACACACACACACACACAAATAAAATTACTGGTTCTGCAACGTCCTTAAACAAATAAGCAACTAACTGCTTTTTAAAAAAAATCCTCCAACTTTTCCATTCTCCACTCTTCTCCTTCTCATGACAGGAGCAAATAATAAAGATTGTTTCCTTTTTATGTGGGCAATCAGTTTTATTGAGTAAGTTTCTTTCCAGATATCTTCATTATTATTTTTATCTGTCTAGGGTATACTGATCATTCGTCTATATTTTTACTTTTCAGGACGTTATTATTACTATGCTGTTAAACGAGTCTCAGGCACAACCCTAGTTTGAAGTCCTGAACAGCGAATCAACATCATCGCACACGGATAGAAACCCATAAGTGCTCCGTTCTTCTTCTAACTCAAGTCTGAGTCCGAAGAAGCTCAGCACAGTGCACAGGCTCTGTAGCACCGGCGAGGATCCTGACCACCCTAGAAAATGTATAAGATAATGGTGACTTCGACACCACATATGTTTTCTTTGTGTCGGCGCCTGTGACACAAAGGAGCATATGTATACCGGGATTTGAACTTATCACTTCCAAATGACAGCAGTGCTTCACTGCAAAAATAATTTGTGAGTTCCGATCCCCTTTGTACCATTCTGAATGTTTTATCTGTAAAGATTCTGCAATTCCATTAGAATTTCTAGACAAAATTATATTCTTATGATTTTTTTTTAACAGTCCAGGCGGTGGAGCAATTATAGTCATGTCTGCAAATGATAAACACATATTAAGAATTGTAAAAAGACCAGACAAACATATCAGTTTTTACAGAATCGAGTACCAAAAAAAAAAAAAAACCGTTGCGGCTATTAAACTTCATCAGCGGAACGACAACGAGAAAATAAGCACAGCACAGAAATAAATATACTCAAAACTAACTATATTATAGCACTACAATATCGTGTAAAACAAAAATAATATTAATAGTCAACGACATAATGTAATAAATTATGTTATACTTTCCCCTAACGCAGGGAATTTTATGATGGTCATGGTACTATTAAGAATTCGATAAAAGGAGAACGATGTTTTTCACTAATCATCGCTTAAAACGTCATCACTTCGAGTGTAGAACACGCACCATTCGTTCGATCGCAGTCTACTAACGTGTAGTCTACTGTAGATATCTGGATTTAAACATCGTATTGTGACTTTTAGTTTAGGGATTTTAACAGTAAAGTTACAACGACACCCTGCTTTGGTAAGTTTACATTTAACTGTATATAATTTATCACGTTAAGTAATGTTAATAGCCTTTTATTATTGAAAATAAGTGACAGCTTTTGAGATGAGATGATCATGAACACCGAACAGGCTCGTTAAATAAACCAAACAGAAACTAAAACTTAGGAAGCTTAGTTAGGAGTAATATTTTCTTCTGACAGTTTGTGTATGGCAACTGTGTGTGTGTGTTAGTGTAGTCCTTAACCGTTACTTTTTTTTTTTAATTTCTTGTTAATAATTATAATGAAAACGGCGTTTTAGTGAAGTTTGTTGTCAGTAGTAAGTTTGTGATTGAACTGATTGTCATTGTGACGACGATGTGATGGTCCCTAAATGAATAAATCACATAAATTAATCAATGTGATGGACTAAATTAATTAAGACGAAGAAGAAAATAATCATTAAAAATTATCGCCAACTTGCTTTTGAAAAATGCATAAACTTTAACTAATTTTCCCAGCAACCGACACAATTTATTTAGACTTAGAGTGTCTCTGACTCTGTGAAGAGCCATTAAGTGGTGTTCTGTCCGAACATGACTTACATGACAGATTAAAATAATCAAAATCAAAAGGCGCAAAATTAAAGAGACGATCCGTCCTTAAAAAGTTGAAGGATGCTTACATCTTTATTTAATTTATGAAGATTTGATTTATAATTAAAAAAAAAAAAAAACCTTACATGTAAGCATCTTTTATTTTATTAATAAAGCTTTTAAGCATTTAATGTGCATGTATGCTGTTGATCTTCTGGTAATCTTAGTTTCAGTTTCATAGCAAACGGGTCACCCCATAGTTGCTCCTCTCCTGTGCCAATGAAAAACACACATATTGTTTATCACAGTCCCTTGTGGAAAGATTAACAGACTGCTGTCTCAGCATATGCACTAGCATACACACGCATTAAAAGCATACGGTTGCCATCCGAAGTGCTAACACAAACAGTCCGACATTAGAAATGCAATTCATGATGGATGTTAGCAGAAGTCACCAACAGATCAGCAACTTTAATCACATAATGGCATTAGCAATATTGCGACAACAGGTATTCTTACCACCACATTGGTCACAGTCGAAAAACATTCCCAATGAAATCTGTAGCTCACAGTGTCATGCCATGCACTCAGCTCAAAAGCTGAGCGACGAAACTGTATTCTTTGTCTATAAATGGAGCAAAAATGCAACGGCCACCGTCTGAAATTTGCCACAGCTCAAAACAGTAGCTGTGCCTAGCGTCCATTTTGACGCCATTGACGGGAAGTTGCTGTTGAAGTATGCTGTTGAATTTACTTGAATGTTGAATTAAGGGCCGACATCACAGCACTCGGGGAACCCTCATAAGTGCTCTGTCCCCACCCTCAGCAGCAAGCGAAGAGTTAAAATATCAATAGTACCAGTAACTGTCTGATCTTGCCATTCCCCTGACTGTCGAGTGTTGGCCAGATCCTCTTGAAACTCCTTGCAGTGCCATTCTCCTCAAACCGTTATGATCTGTCTGCCTCGGTACTGTTCACTCGCTCCCAAAGAGCCCTCACAATATTGTTGGATTTACTAAGGCTGCAGTCTGTAATTTGTTGTCCACAAGGCAAAATAATGGTATTCTTTGCGGTTTTTTTGGCACATTTAACGTGGCAACTTTAGGGTGACCTGTTTGCTATGAAGCTGGAACTGTGATTGGGTGATTTATAAAGATTTACATTGCTTCCTACATATAAGTTGAATTGTTTCTACTTCAGATCTGCCATCATGACTTCAGCCGTCCCGACAAAGATAGTCTTGAAAAGTACAACCAGAATGTCCCTGAGTGACAGGTAAGTTTGTTCTGTGACTCAATTTGTAAATGTATCTGGCTGTGCTGTCAGAACTCTAGGCTTCTTGCAAAAGATGTAGGTTTGAACCCTTGATAAGGTGTTGGTGATGAAAACATTTAGGTGCTTTCTCAATATCTTACCCCAGATGACTGTCCTGTGACCTGTGGATTTCCCATGTTTGGGGTTGGATATTGAGAAAGCACCAAAATTTAGATTGAGGAAGAAAGGATGTCCAAAAGAAACCCTACAACGTTGATGAGAGAGGCCAAAGGTGCTGGACTGGATTATATCCGTGATATTGAAACAGTTGCATGGATTAGAGTTGTAAGGGTGAGAGAATCCACTTTGTTGCACCGGGTTTTATTCCATATAGCTCGGTCTCTCTCCACAGAACAGCTAGCTAGCTGGCTGCCGAGAGCATGACCTCCATAGCTGCTGTGATGATCCTCGGGGATCTCTATAAAAATTGCACTTGTGAACTGAATGGAGCTGTCATGATATGAACCTGCGACCTTCAGAGTGCCATGCAAACACCTTGACCACTTTGCCACCGAGTACCCTAGAAGCAAATGGAAGAATAGACAGCAAGCCCTATATGATGTATAGTGGTATAAAAGGAGGATGATATGTGTAGCACCGCTAAACTAAATTTGTCAGGACCAAGAGTCGTTCTCATCTGCCTGACTTCCTTCCCCCGCTGACCTAGAGTTTAATCATAATTTTTTTCTCTGTGGGTTCTGGGGCCCTGTTGTTGGTGAGAACGAGAATAGACCCACTGCCTCTCCAGCAAGCATGTTGTGGGAGTTGATTTAATTGGGGACACCCTTTGATGTTGGAGTACATCTGCTCGAGAGCTAGGAACCAATCTGTGCACACAACACTCAGGTTCTGGAACAAAACTGAATTCCAGAGGTGGACAAACAACAATAACTTTTCGCCGGAGTTTACAGCCAGTGAAGGCAAACAAAGAAGAATAATTTACCTACCTATATTTTGTTATTTCCTTCCTCTGCAGATATATGATATACACATATGCTTGTTTGATTTGCAGTTCACATATGCTGTCTTTGTAGTGAATGATTAGGTAACTTATCTTCTGCTCTTTCATCTCCCAGTGCAGCGTAGGCCCTCTGCCAGCTCACGCCAGATCATCCGACCCCCTCACTGTTGCATACAGCTCAGCCCTTGTCTTTTCCATCCCTAGTTCCCTTTCTTCCCCTTGGGTTTTTCGTCGTCCTATATTTCGATGCCTCTGTGTGTTTCCTGCAAAGACATTCCAATCATATTGTTCTCAGGTTTTCACTGTGTGTGTCCTATCCAATGCCAGTATCTTTTCCCCCCACCTCTTTCACTGGAATTTTAGTGCTTTCACAAAGCTCTACAATTTTTATTCTATTGTGCCATTTAATTCCTTTTATTCTTACAGGCCCCAATTAATGAATGTTTTTAGTTTATTAGTAGCTCTCCATGTTTGCGCTCCATACAACAGTCCTGCTTTGATATAAAAGCCAAACATTTTAAATTTAGTACTAGTTTTAGTTTATAAATTAGGTAACTGTAGTGTCTGAATTTCATATTATTTGACTCAGGTTCTCCACTATCGCACCAACTGTTCAGAACATCCGAGCACAAATGGCTATGGAACATCAAGTATCTGCAGCAAATCAACGACTCGCTCAACAGCTGGCTCGCCGTCCGGCTATTCTTGCTACTCCACCAAATATGTTCATTCCACAGCAGCGTGGAGCTGGTGGAAGGCGGGGGAACTTTAATGCAGCCGTCATCAAGGTATATAAGTTGTGTTGTAGCTGTTGGTTAGAATTATTCCTTGTCTTTGGCGTGCAGTGTTTTTTATCCCGACACCTTTTTATGCTTATCTGGTTATCTTCTTCCTCTTTGCACTCACCTGCTGTAAACTCCAGCAGCAAGTTGTGGGTGTTTGTCCACATGTGGACTTGGTCTTTTTCAAGAATCTGAGTGTTGTGTACATATCTGGCTTATTTGTATGCAGATTGTTGGTTCCTTGCCTCTCAGGCAGATGCGCTCCGGCTTTGAAGGATGCCCCTAATTAGTACACGCTTCTGACATGCTATTTCATTTAGAATTCTCCATTACTTAATTGGATTGAACAGCTGTTGCTTAATTTAATACTGTCTGTTAATGAGTTACATTGAAGAGCCATTGTTTTATTTGAAACTGTCTGTTAATCAGATTAAAGAGCCATTGTTTTTTTTTGAAACTGTGTTAATCAGTTAGATTAAAGAGCCACTGTTTTATTCGAAACTGTCTGCTAATCAGTTAGATTAAAGAGCCACTGTTTTATTTGAAACCATCTGTTAATCAGTTAGATTTAAGAGCCATTGTTTTATTTGAAACTGTCCGTTAATCAGTTAGATTAAAGAGCCACTGTTTTATTTGAAACCATCTGTTAATCAGTTAGATTTAAGAGCCATTGTTTTATTTGGAACTGTCTGGTAATCAGTTACATTAAAGAGCCACTGTTTTATTTGAAACTGTCTGGTAATCAGATTAAAGAGCCATTGTTTTATTTGAAACTGTCTGTTAATCAGTTAAAGAGCCATTGTTTTATTTGAAACTGTCTGTTAATCAGTTAGTTTAAAGAGCCATTGTTTTATTTAAAACTGTCTGTTAATCAATTAGATTGAAAAGTCATTGTTTCAGTAAAAATTATCCATTAGTTAATTGGATTTGAACAACCATTGTTTCATTTGAAACTGTATGAAAGCCTACTAGATTAAAGATCCATTGTTTTATGTGAAATGACCCTTTTCTCATTTTCAGCCAAACGTACAACAAAGGTTAGGGAAGTCCAACGTTAAGAACCGACTTTCGCTGCCCGGAGGTCAACCTATTAGAGGCAGGGGAAGAGGGCGAGGAAGGGGAGGTAATATTTCACAGCCAGCTGAGCTTGGAGACCATCACTGGGTGAATCCAAACCTGAGGGGCAGAGGAAACTTTAACCCAAGTTTGTATTTTGTATTTTTTTTTATCTCTGTTATGTGTTTTCTGTCTGGAACTCATGGCCAGTTTATGTGTGAGCTGGTGAGAAACCTTATATAATAATTCTACACGTGTATAGTAACCAACTCACCGTGCCTGACTACTTCCATCAAAGACAAACTGCATTTATGGTGGCAATTGTTGGCTTTGGTGCCTTTAGCAACTAAAATATGCATTTACTGCATAGGCATATTTCTGGATTGTTCCTGGACTAGTTTGCTCACCAATTTTTCAGTTGCAACAATTAGGGACATTTCATTTGATTTGCACAGGAATGAAGCAAGTATGGGGAAAACCCGATTGTGGTGAAGTTGAAACCTCGGCTGAGAGGTAAAAGGAAACTAAAACTAATAGTAAATGGCAAACTTAAGAAAAACGGTTAGCGTTGGTTCTTTAGCTTTCAGTAATGGATATGCAATTAACTAAATGTACAGCTCTTTTTCTTCGCGTTCACCAGCTGTAAACTCTGGCCGAAAGTTCTGGTTGTTCATCCACCTCTGGACTGCAGTCCTGTTCCAAAACCTAAGTGTTGCATGTGCAATCCGTTTCACAGATCTGACTCATTTGTATGCAGGCTGCTGGTCTCTTGCCTCTCAGGCAGATGCACTCTGACTTCAGAGAAAGCTCACAATTAGTCGACTCTTACGACATGCTTTTGGGTAGGCAGTGGGCCTATTCTTGTTTCCCCTATAATAGGGCCCCGGAAACCAACACGGGGAGTACAGTTTTAACTTTGATGTCAAATGAGTGCTGTTGTTTGGAACAAAAATGTGGAGCATAACTAAAACAGTAATTATTTCACTTACAAACATTCATTAACTAGTACCTTTACAGATTAGAGGGAATCAAATTGTGTGACAAAATCACCTGTGTGGAACTTTAGGAGAGAATTGAAATAATAGCGATTCAGGAGGAAAGAAAAAGGGGATGGCTCTGGACAGGACACACATTGAGAAAACTTGATAACCTATATTTAGAATGTTCTTGTACTGGAGCCCACAGGCCTAAGACATCAAGAAAAAAACTGGGTACTGTCTAAATTTAGCGCTTCTATGGTGATGTAGTTGCTATCCTGAGGATCCGAAGCTCATGGGTTCAGATTTTGACAGAGCCGGACTTTTTCAGAAATGACATTGGCTCCCAGGTCGACCCAGCCTTAAGTGAGTACCAGGTAAAAGTCCTGGGAAGTAAAGGCGGCCAGCACGATGTTGACCACATCACCCACTGGCAGCTGATCGTTTTTTAAAATATAGATCTCACCATGTATGCCTAATACGCCGGAAGGCATGGACAAGAGTCAATTAAAAACTAATATAGTTATTATTGAAATACACTGTCATGAGCCAGTTCAATTACAGAAGATGGGAAATCAAATTGTATAACAAAATCACTGATGTGGAACTTTGGGAGAGAATAAATATTCTAGTGATTCATGAGGTGAGGAAATCAAGCTGGCCTTGGATAGGACACACATTTAAAAAAACATAACGTATAATTAAAATGTCCTTTACTGTACCGGATCCCACAGGTTCAAAGAGATTATTAAAAAAAAACATTATAGTTACTGTCTGAATTTACTGCTTTTACAGCGATGTAATTTTCAGAATACTATGGACAAAGAGGAGGAAAAACATGGACATTCTACACGAGTTAGTCATCTAGGATAACTGGCCCATAAACAGCATCCTGTCTCAAAGGTTAAAAGTGTTTTGGCCACATCAAACGCCATGGTGGCTTGGAAAAGATGGTTTTAAAGGGTGCAGTTTGGGGAAGGCAAGGCAGGGGGTTGACCTCGGCCAAGATGGAGACAGGACATTGAAGAAGCATTGGCATTGAAACACCACATGGGGGAGAGCTGGCTAGGGAAAGAGATACTTTCGAACGTGCTGTGAAGATAGAGACATTATGTAAAGGACTTGCTGATTGATGATGATGATGAGAGAAATCTAGCTATTTCATTTAGAACTCTTCGATACCTAATTAGATTGAAGGCTGATTGATGAGAGAAATCTGGCTATTTCATTTAGAACTCTTCAATACCTAATTAGATTGAAGGCTGATTGATGATGATGAGAGAAATCTGGCTATTTCATTTAGAACTCTTCAATACCTAATGAGATTGAAGAGCCATTGTTTCTATTGAAACTGTCTATCAGTTACATTGAAGAGCCACAGTCCAGAAGTGGACAAACAGCCAAAAAATGCAAAGAAGAAGATAGAAGGCTTGGTGACTAGAAGACAAGGCTGGAATTGACCAACAACTGATGGACACATAAATTGAATTTACCATAGTGGCCCAATAATTTTGATCATAGATCGTTGTGGTGTGTATACAGAGATACTCCATACCTCACCTTGGGCGCCAGTTGTCTCTGTGCTGTTTTTAATGAATCCTTATGCAAGACTCCTGCCACATGTCCTTGTCGTGCGCTACGGCTAATGACCTCTGTTGCCCTAAACCGAGCTGGCAGGGGGCTGAGTCGTCTTGAGGTATCTTGTCAGCCTCGAGTGCTGGAGGTCCCGGGTTCAAGCCACAGTGAAGGATGGGATTTTTCACATGGACTTCTAGTAATTTCTTTTGCACACGTAAAAAAAAGAGTAGCCTAGCAGCGCTGACCGGGCAAACTTTTGAGTCAAAAATCTACCCAAAGTATTACAGGAGCATCGCCGGTGCTACAGAGTCAGATTGTTTAGACAAGTTGAACAGAGCACTCATGAGTTACTACCCTTGTGCCATGATGTTTATTCATCGTCTAAACCTAATCCTAATGCCAGATTTATTTCTGTTTCAGGAGAAGGCCCCAGAGGCAGGGGTGCATTCAGAGGCAGAGGAAGGGGAGCTTTCAACAGGTAAACCTTGACGACCTTTTGTACTGTTACTGATCTTTCCAGTGGCTTTCCTGAAGAGTGCTTGTGAAACATTTCCCTTGTGTGATTTGCTAGACAGTTTTGTACATGTGATTTGCTAGACAGTTTTGTACATGTGATTTGCTAGACAGTTTTGTACATGTGATTTGCTAGACAGTTTGTCACATGTGATTTGCTAAACAGTTTGTCACATGTGATTTGTTAAACAGTTTGTCACATGTGATTTGCTAAACAGTTTGTCACATGTGATTTGCTAAACAGTTTGTCACATGTGATTTGCTAAACAGTTTGTCACATGTGATTTGCTAAACAGTTTGTCACATGTGATTTGCTAAACAGTTTTGCACATGTGATTTGCTAAACAGTTTTGCACATGTGATTTGCTAAACAGTTTTGCACATGTGATTTGTTACACAGTTTGTCACATGTGATTTGCTAAACAGTTTGTCACATGTGATTTGCTAAACAGTTTTGCACATGTGATTTGTTACACAGTTTGTCACATGTGATTTGTTACACAGTTTGTCACATGTGATTTGCTAAACAGTTTGTCACATGTGATTTGCTAAACAGTTTGTCACATGTGATTCGACTCTTGAGATTTCCTTTCTTTGTGCATCGGCTGAGAAGTATTTTGAGATTGAATCACCGTTTTCTTTGTTGGTTTTGCCCTTAACTCTTTCGGTCCCAGGCAATGTGTGATGCGCAGTTGACTGTTCCATATTAATCCCACCCGTTACATAGTGCGTTAACCCTAATTTTTCCCATTGGTAAGTGTACACTGAAAGTATATTGTCTCTACAGTACTGCCCAGGCTTTGCGCTATGGAGAGGATGAACTTCATGCCACGCTTTTCTTAACGCAGGCAAGTCACACTCGCCATCGCCAAGGGCTGTTAGTCGCATGCCTCATCATAGCACAATATAATACTATCGTCTAGAAAGACGAAAAGATGGTAGTCCAATCCGTTGGGAGGAATTGTTTATGATCCATTGCTTGATGGGCAGCAACAGCTATTGTAATTCGGTGTCAATGTGTGAAAGCTCTTTGGTGTCATCGGTTCATATTTTCCTAGGTCTGCCTCTTGCTTTCACTTTAGATCTCTAAATGTGTAGCGCATGTGTTGGTAGCTGTTCAGGTTTCATTCTTACTGAACTGTTGAATCTTATATTTGTTACTGAATTTGCTGCATGGTGTCTTTTCCACAGTCTGTCTGATAATATCCGTTTTAACTTTGTCTCAGATGGTTAAGTTGGCGGCTTTTCTCGAGCATCTCATTTCACACATGTTTATTTTACGTAGGTTAGACTTTGATAATGTCGAAGTCTGGCAATGTTGGTATGTATACGCTGTTTATTATCTGTTTCTTGGTGCTCATACTTGCGGGTTGCACTGTCTCGTTGGTTTCCTGTTTCTATTTCTCAATCTATTGTCCCATCCTCCGAGGATATACAAGGTCCGACAATTAAGTAATGAGACTGATTTTATTATGGCCAAGACAAAAATGTCATATACATAGCAAGGCGTGGAATATAAAGAGATAACAAGATGCTCAGCACAGTGCACAGGCTCTGTATCACTGGTGAGGATCCCGAAATACTTGCATAGATTTTAAACTTCAAATTTTGCTCAGGCAGTGCCATTAGGCTAATATTTTTTTCCCTCTAAATGCCAAGGGATATTTCGTTCGATAATAAACCCGGTGCACGACACCGTACTGCCCCCTGTGTGAGGGAAGGAGCCAGAGGTGTGTTTAAGTCTTAGGAATGCAGAAACAAGTATGCTAACAACCCCTTCTCTCTCCCCCCCCCCCCCCCCCCCCCCCCCTCCAATACCGGAAACTATCCTGAAGGCACAGGGACTCAGGACGTGACGATCTAGTTGCCCCAACTACTCATGCTTAGGCCATACTTGCAGGCAATCTGGTGGCGGGGAATGAGCACACTGTGAGCCCCATCTTAGCTACGTTTTAAAGGGGAAGGCAGAAACACAACCCATATTTCCTTTAGAACTGGTACAGGGCATTTCTGGCTGCTTCCTGGGAGGTAGGTAATCCACAGACACCCCATCACCACAGTGCCACAAATATGTCATGCGCAACAATGCACACGGGTGTCCGATCTCATTGCCCAGAGACCAGGGGGAATTACTAGAAGTCCAGGTCCACGTGAACAAATCATAGCCCTTGCTGGAGATTGAACCTGGAACCCCTAGCACTCGAGGCGGACACCATGTCTCGAGACCACTCAGCCCCCCCCCCCTACCCCCAAAAGTCCCGGTAATTAAAGACAGCAGTGTGAGGTTGACCGCTTTGCTTGTATTGTGCTGATTGGCCTTCAGAAAATTGGGATTTATCAGTGCCATGGAAGGGATTCTTTGTCCCCGGTTTAAAAAAAGGGTATTTATTAACTAAGGGAAGCTGCTGCGGTATGGTACCTAAATGCTCACCTGTGGATCTGAAGATTGTGGGTTCAATTCCATACAGAACTGGACCTTTTCAGAGCTGACTTTGGCTCGACCTAGCCTTTAACGGGTATCAATGACAGGAGCCTGGCAGGATGTTGACTACATCACCCACTGAGTACTGATTCATCTACAAAATATAGTTCTTGCATTATATTCCCAGATACGACCGAAGGCTTGAAAAAGGATTTTTACTGTTAGTTACTTAATTGTTTTGTGTGTGTACATACTGTGCTGTCCCTTTGCCATTCTTTCTGCTGTGGTAGTATTGTTTTAGCTTTTTTTTGTGTGTATTGTTTGGCGGCATTTCCAGATCATTTGAGAATGTTCCTAATGAAGATAGGCACCGCCGGCGTCGTAGACGTAGAAGGCGTTATGCAGAGAGGTCAGGGGAATGACTTTATAGCGATCTTCTGTTATGTTTTTTTTTTCTGACTGCATGAAGGAATGTTTCATTTTTTTCTACAAACAATGCGCAGATTTGCTAATTTTAACTTATTTTAAAATTTATATTATGTTTTGTTGTTGCTATTTACACATTTTTGAAGTACGTTACGTTTTTTTTTTCCCATGCAGTTCTCTATTGTATTTTTCTTTATTTCTTAAAGTTGTGCTTTAGACTGCTGATTTTTACTGATGCCGCACCGTTATTTTTCATTTGCTGTTAAAACTTTGCTTTTTATGTCTTTAACCCCGTCACAAATGACAAATTATTACATGGTTGGAGTGACAGTATTTCTGTCGTCACCTGGAAGACTAGATCTGATAGTGTTGCAGTCCTGTAGATGCCGATATATAGCCATGTCTGCGATGACCTGTTTTTAAAAGCTTAGTTAAGTTACACTAGTCTTATGTTGAGTTGAGTCAAGAACTGACATCACAGCACTTGGGGCATTCCCACGCATGCTCCGTCCCCATCTCCAGCAGCCAGCGCAGAGTTCCGGTACTGATGGTACCGGTCACAATCTGTTTATGTGTCTGTCTTGCCTTTCCTCTGAGTGTAGTGAGCCAGCGAGACCCTCTGGTTACACCCAGATGCCTCATTGTTTCCAGGCCATAATAATCTTCTATCTCTACTGATTCCGTTGCTTGTTCCCAAAGGGCCTTGACCACATCTGCCTTGTCATGTATCAGTTCACCACCCAGTAGGGCAAATCCAGCCAATCTGTCTTGCCTTTTCATTACCCACCATGCCGGCATTACCTGAAGAAGAGATCCAAATTAAAAACTTGGATAAATAATCTTCAACGCATTCACAGACTGTAAGCTCTGGTTGTTTGTCCACCTCTGGACTTTAGTCTTGTTCTAGAACCTCAGGGTTGTGTGCACATCCGTTTAACAGATCTGACTTAATTGTATGCAGATTGTTGGTTCCTTGCATTTCAGGCAGATGTACTCTGATTTTGACGGAAGCTTCTAATTAGTTGACTCTTACGACATGCTTATTTGGGCGGCAGTGGGTCTATTCTTGTTTCCCCCTACAATGGGGTCCCAAGACCCACACAGGAACGATAAGTAATAACTTAACAGTGTTTGACTATTGACCTGTTTATAAGTTTTTTTTTTCTCCATCGGGGGTTCCCACGGGTTCATGTAGCGTTCGTTGGATGAGAAGAGTTAAAGCAAAAATCTAGCAGGCCAGCTATTACTACCATGCTTTAAGGTGAAAAGACAGACCTCGTTTCACCGTGTTCAGCTTCCATTTTGCTTGATTTCTCTACCCAGACTAACCTGCCTTCTGCCGAAAATGTCATGCAAAACCCCAGCAGCACCCTCCTGGGGATTTCTGAGAATTTTATGGACAAACATATTTATTTTCCTGCTCACATTTTTAGCTCTCTAGTTTTTTTTAACAGGATATTTGGAATGTTTGTTTTTAACCCTTGACCTTCCGCACTTTTTTCTTGTGAGTGCCGCTGCTGCTGAATGCTGTAGTGCATCACGTCTGCCATTTTTTTCTTTTTTGACTAGCAACTAGCACAGATTAATAACTTGTTTATTTCCCCATGTAGGTTCCGGGGCCCCGTTATGGGAAAACGTAGAGGTGCACTGCCTCCCTAGCAAGCAAGTCGTAAAAGTTGGCTAAATACGGCAGGTTTTTTAAAGTTGGAGTGCATCTGCCTGAGTGGCAAGGAACCAACAGTCTGCATACAAATGAGTTAGATCTGTAAAACAGATGTGCGTGCAACACTCAGGTTCTGGAGCAAGACTAAAGTTCAGAAATGGACGAACAACCAGAAATAGCTACCAGAGTTTACAGCCAGTGAAAAGAAGAATAATGTGTTAATTTTTAAATTTAAAATTGTTAAAATTTTATTTGATTGAGTGTAGGCTGTCTGATATTTGTTAGTGAGCTACTTTTGGATGTTGTTATCAATCCAGCGGTGCATGAGCTTTTGCCCTTTGGCCCAATGCCATGTAGTGGGATTTGCATGTTTTCACAAGCTGTTCTTTTCCTCCGTACAAGGTGTTCCACTTGTCTGGTCTTGGAGGGAGTAGCATTCTTCTAGTCTCGCTTAGTTTACTTTTGGATGTCAAGCCACCTAAAAACAGATTCAGAACACCTCTGATATATCTCTGCCTTTAAGTGGTAAAAGGGCTTGTTCCAGTGACTCCGAGCGTTATGTCGACAGTAGCTCGACTCATGGTAGTAGGGTGTCTCATGTTAAACAGTTTAAAGGATAGGAGGCAGATTAAGAGAGTCACAAACAGGCTGTCTTGCAGGTTAAATGGGGACAGTGTAAAGATAGGGAAAGGAAAATACTGTCAGAATCAGATGAGAGTCGAGGATTCAACATGGCCGCAAAGGGGTTCTTCTCTCTCTCTCCCCCCCCCCCCCCCAATTGTTCCACTCTTGCCATCACAGTCCACTTGAAACTTCATTCACAAGCTTGCCCAACAAGAACTGGAAATGTCGCTGAAAAACTAGTCTGAGCGGTTAGAAACTTTGGGCTGCAATATTAGAGACCCAAGTTTAAGTCTTTAGTAAGGTGACTTTGGACTTTTCTTTGGGGAAAGAATAACTGTTTGTGGAGTTCACTAGCAAAGCAGCCTTACACTTTTAGGACCAAGATCTCATCCTCTCTCCTCCCTACCTAAAAATGGTAAGTGCAGACCATGAAGATAGTATTATACCACACCCCCCCCCCCCCCATGGGTTCCAGGGCCCCGGTAAAGGAGGGGGGGGATGGATAGACCCACTGTCTCCCTTACAAGCGTCTCCTACTAGGTGACTAATCAGGGGTGTTTTCTTTGAAGCTGCAGTGCATCTGCCTGAGAGGCGAAGAACCAGTAGTCTGCATGCAGATAAGGCAGATCTGTTGAAATGGATATGTACACAAAGGTCGAAGTCGGCGTCTGTGGTTTAGGCATTGCGAACACGCTTCGTAATGCTGGAGTGCCGGGTTTGATCCCAGCTGTTGGTTTTGACAGTGGTATCGTGAATCCGACCCTCCAGAAAGCAATGGCAAACTACTGGATGTAAACTTGCCTAGAAAAACCAAAAAATGCTGGGGTTGGTTCTGCAATGTCCTGTAAAGGATACACAACTAACACAAAAGTCAGGTTCTGATACAAGACCAAGGCCCAGAAGTAAGCAAACTGTAAGAACTTTCCACCAGAGACCGCGTTAGCGCAGTCGATAAGAAGCTCGCTTTCAAATCCAGCAGTGACTTGCTGCCCATGGTCGGTGTTCGAAACTGGGCGGCTCCCGGGGTTCTCCCAGCCTCTAGGAAATGGGTACCAGAGTGATACTCTGGGGTAAATGGAGGAATGACGCTGTAGCTACAGCAGAGTTACGCGTGAACTGCGACACAGGCGGACAGTTCTTATCAGCTGTCCGTACTGGTGGCAGAGCACTTATGGTTTATAACTATGTGCGATGGCGCTGGTTCACATCTCTCGACTGTACCTTTATAGATCTGACAGTAACTTTTAATTCATATTTTCTCATAGGTTCAGTGAACAGAACACACCGACAGCCCAGACAGCCAGCACAAGAGGCAACTCAAGGGGCAGTAGACCCGGAGGCAGACGTGGCCGAGGAGCTGGCAGGGGGAACAAATCTAATGTGTCTGTAGCAGATCTTGACAACCAGTTGGATGCGTACATGGCCAAGGCAAAAACACATCTTGATTCCGAACTTGAAGCTTACATGTCTGAAGTTTCAAAATGAAGTGAAACTCCGTTAAAATGCTGGCGATAATTTTAGTACAACCAGTTTATAAATCAGTAATTCTGCCGCAAGACATTAAATCTCAGCCAGTCAGCGTTTAAAAATCTGTTTCAGGACTTAACTTTTGATCTCTCTTTTGTCTTCTGTTTAGAAAAGTTTTGGCATATCATTTTTCGGTAGCAAACCTTTGACCTTTTTTTTGGGTCTTTTTTCTCTAGACTCGGCGTCAGATTTTGAAGAGGCATCTAGTGTCAGCCTTGGAATTTGTTACAGATGTTTGTATTGCTTCTATCCATCACTTGTGTGGGCCACCTCTGGCTTGTTTCCTGTGGTAGTCTTGACACATGTCCAAACCATTTGATCTGTTGTCTCTTGATGTACTTCAGCACTGGTTTTGTCCCAGCTTGTTAACTTTTGACTAATCACCTTGAATACTTGTCTCAGAGCATGAACTCTTGACCAGTCAGCACTAGAACATCCATCTCTAGAGGATTAATCGAGTAACAGAAAGTGTATTGATCGGCACTCATAGAAAGAAGTAGAAAGATAAAAGAACACACTTGACAAAATAAAAATCAAAAGCTATAGTTCCCGTGCCGGGAATTGAACCTGTCACCTCCAGACGGCGTGTGCGCCTCACCATGGATACAGGTGCACTAAGAACAGGGTCAACTAGGCACCCCCCAAAAAAGGTGTCTTTTTGGCCATGTCTATCGTACAGCTTGAAATCCACAACTATGGAATACAGACAGAATTCATTTCAAACCATTGAAATGGCACCATAGGTTACAGAAATTTATATTAACAAAATTTATATCATCTCTAGAGATGATCTTTTGTTCCGTTAGTGCTTAAAGATCTGCTCGCTGGAGATTTTGAACTTTAGACTAATTACCTTTCATAAACCTATCTCAAGATATTAAATTTTGACCAGTCAGACTGATAATGTACCAACCTCTAGACGAGAACCTTTGGCTAATCATTTGCTAAATAATTTAAGCCGCTACAAGTACAATGAGATATAAAAGGACCACGGAAATAAGGTGTCTGAGAAAGGCAGTAGGAGTGACCAGAAGAGATCAAATCAGGAGTGAGGTCATTTGAAATCGGCACAGAACCAATTCTAAATTACATAGAAAGACAGCAAATCAAATGGTTTGCTTACTTGGAGAGAATTTCTTCTGATGCTTTACCATTCAAGGCATATGCGAAAAGAGGAGAGGGACGTAGAGCAAGAGGTAGATCAAAAACAATATGAAAGGAAACCTGCAGAGAAACCCTACAGCACCACGATGTGTCTATGGTCAAAGCAGCCAGAAGAGCACGAAGCAGGACCTTATATCTCCCTCGACACCCAGGAGCGGTAAAAGAGGACGTAAAGAAGATACTTAACAGTGTGCTACACAGAAGTGACCCCAGCATATGTCGGCTGTTTGTAATTTGACTAGGCAGTTTAACATTCAGTAGTTTGCCATTTCTTTCTGCATGGGGGGGCGCTCCATCAGTTCAGTCTTCTTCGCATTCACCGGCTGTAAACTCTGACGAAAAGTTCTGGTTGTTTGTTCACTTCTGGACTCTAGTCCTGTTCCAGAAACTGAGTGTTGCATGCACATCCATTTTACAGGTCTGACTCATTTGCATGCAGACTGTTGGTTCCTTGCCTCTCAGCAGACGTACTCTGATTTTGAAGGAGGCTCCCATTTAGTCGACTCAAACGACATGCATGTTGGGTGGGCAATGAGTCTATTCTCTTTTCTCCCACAATCGGGCCTCAGAACCAACACCAGGGAAATTAGTTGGTTTGTGTGTGTGTGTGTGTGTGCCATAACATTGTCGAAATCGGCACATAGCAGCTTGATGCCAGATCACCTGTACTGGAGTCGAATTGGTGTTTTAACTCTTTGAGTCCCAGAGGGTTTAGCATCCCAGGCCCAAGGGGTAGTAACGAGAGACGTAAAATCTGCGCATCTTGCGTTTACTGGGCTTCTAGGTTGGGACCTATGAACGTATGATGCGCTCCTTGGGACTCAAAGAGTTAAAAGAATTTATATCACGCCATGGATCCTTATGGTCTTGAAGTGGTTAATAATGTTCTTGATTTCATAAACTGGACTTGAAACCTATGTGTGTAAATACTGTGTAGAAGGTAGTTTGTGTATGTTGATTAACTTTTGCTGTCTAATTGAAGAATCTGTGACCTTTCACCTGCATGCCAGTTAAACTTAAACATTATTGAGATCGTGCAAGTCTCCCGTGGCAACTTACAGGTGAGAGACACCGACTCTCTTTCGGTCTTTGAAGAAGAAAATCGGAGCCTGTGAACTGAAATGCTACAGAACAATTCTTAGAATACCATGGACCAAGAAGAAGAAAAACATCGACCCCCTGCATGACCTGAACATGAAGGAGAACTGGCCCATAAACAGCATCCTCTCCCAAAAGCTGGGGTACTTTGAACATGGTAAAGTCTTTGGTGGTCTGAGCGGTGATGGAGGGTGCATTTTTTGCGGGAAAACAGGGCCGAAGCCGACCTCCAAGGTGGATACAGACATTAAAAATTCATTGGCTATGAAAGCATGCTGGGTTGGAGAATCAGCGCGAGAGAGAGGGAGAGACTTTGAGGTGTGACATGAAGAGATCAACATTCTGTAAATGACATGTTGCTTAATTGATTTGATCTTTTAACCTAAAGAGATCAACATTCTGTATATGACATGTTGATTGATTTGATTTGTTTAACGTGAAGATATCAACATTCTGTAAATGACATATTAATTGATTGATTTAGTCTGTTTAACATGAAGAGATCAACATTTTGTAAATGACATATTGATTGATTGATTTGGCCTGTTTAACATGAAACGATCAACATTCTGTCAGGGCATGCTGAGTGATTGATTTGGTCTGTTTAATTCAGAGTTCACACCTGTGGTGCACCTTCCAGTGGTTTTGCGGCTGCTCCAGGAATATAAATAACAAGTGAACACAGTTTAAGATTTAGAAACAGAAGTCGAATAAAAATCTAGCATTATCATTTTGCACTGAAATTTATCTAGCTGAATGTTTTGTGCCTTCTGTAGCTGATCTGCTTGGTAATTTTGCTGCCGCTAGCTCTGAAATTTTGGTAGTGCTGGAGTGGGTTGGGCACCTGATTGAGCAGGGCACAAGACTGCTGTGCCCATTAGGTCACAGTAAGTTTCAAAAATGTCACTTCATCACGTAATTTTTAGATATCTCTTTGCCTTATATTCCTTCATTACCCATCCCCTTTGCTTGCTCCTTAACATGACTTCGTAACACCATTAACTTGTAAAAACATAGGGTATGGTAGGCCCAAGGGCTCTGCCATAGAAACTGATTCCCCAAAAAAAAGGGCTCCAAAAATCTCATTGGTTAGGGACCAGTGGCCTCATCTATGCAAATTTGTTTTGTGTGAATGTAATCTATTTTGTGTCCATCATATGTAAAAAGGTCAGTTTATGTAAAGTTACTGTCAGTTTAAGTCCCCTTCTGTAACATTACCATTGCTGTTTGTCTAACTAAAGTTACTGTTATATCTTCACGCATTATGAGGTTACTGAGTCCACTTGTCTGGTTATGTTAAGCTACTGTAACTTTGTGTATGTTTGTGGGTAAAATGTTTTGTGTGTGGTAAAAGTGCGGCGTATGGTAGTAGTTTTGGAAGTAAAAGGACCCTTTTCCGTATCTTCAGGCGTATAGGGCCAGACCTACATTGTATAGACCGATCGGAGAGTGATATGGTTAGCATCCTGCCAGCCACCTTTACTTCCCATGACTTCAGCTGGTATCCATTCAAATCTGAGTCGGCCTGAGAGCCCAGTTTTAGAAGTGACTTTTGTGAGATGGCATACAAAAAAGTTATAGAACCCAAGTGTCCGTGATTTTGGGTTCATACTCTTGTCAATGTGATTTTTTTTTTTTAATGCATAAAAATGATTCTAGTTTGACATTGTATGATGGTCATTTCTGCGTCAGGGATTTCTAGCGATGCGCACATAATTTTTTTTTTTCAATCTGTACATATTTTTTTTTTTTAGTGTATGCCTCTCTGTGTGGATTCGGGGACCCCTTTCTAGAGAAAACCAAGACTAGACCCACTGCTGACTCCCCTAACAATGTGGTGTACAAGGCAACTGATTAGGGAAGTTTCCTTGGATGTTGTTGTGCATCTGCCTGAGAAGTGAGGAGCCAACAGTCTGCACACAGATAAGCAAGACCTGTAAAATGGATGTGCACGCAAAACTCAGGTTCTGGGACTAGAGCAAAGTCAAGAAATGGATCAACGACCAGACCTTTCCCCCAGAGTTCACAGCAGGTGAAAGCTAAAAATATGGTATGTTAGTGTGTTTAAGTGATTTTTTTAGTGTGTCAGGGTATAAAAGTGATTTTTTTAGTGTCAGGGTATAATAGTGATGTATAGTCAGTTTGACAGCGATTTTTGGAGGGTATATGTCAGTTAAGTTTACTGTTGGTGTGTCATTATATGAAAGTTACTGTTAATTCATATCTAGTGTATGTACAAGTTGCCCGTGACTTTTGCAATGTAACAGTTCTGAAGCTTTATGCGAAAGTTATGTAGCAGCGACAAGTGGATATTAAATGAATGAACTTTTTTTGACGTTTGTGTGTCATTTTTGAGGTTTTGATTGCCTTGTATGAGATAGAGGGTCCTCTGTGTGTTTTGGATAGGGGAACCCTCAGTGTTGTTGTCTGGTGTGTCCTATCTTTGTGCTTGTTCCTGTGAATGCCGATCCATGACCGGCTGCAGCTGACGTGCCTGGGTCGGGCTAACGATGCGGTTCTCAGACAAGAAATAAAATATTCTCGACAGTGGCGAGGGAAGACAACTTAAATTACTTTTATTTATGCCTGCTTTAATAATTTCAAAGTTTTTAGCCGTTTTTCTCTTGATTATTGCTGCGGCACCCAGTTTGAGAACCGCTGTGTTAAGGCATCGTTAGCCCGACCTGGTGACGTCA